ATCTGCATATTAGGAGAATGCATGAAAGTAAATACAAATGGGGGGCAATGTTTTTAAACAATTACAAAAAATGCAGAAATAGAGCAGAACAATCATGTTGGAAAAAATGGAAAACTATGTAAATCAAATTATTAACTATGTAAAGAATTAAGAGTAAACCTGCTCCAACTACTTAGAGTAAAAATGGATTGAAGAGGGATAAAAGTTGCATAAATAAAATAAAATAAACCCATGCATCACTAGTATTTACTTTCTTGAATTTCCCGTGACAATTATTTCCTCTAATTCAGAGTTAAATCATTCAAATCTTCAACAATACCATCAATATTCAAATCAAATCAATAGAAGACCATTCTGGTCTGAGTCTACCAAGAGGAAGTATTTGGTTAAGGATCTCTCTGGATGAAGATTGAATAGTTCATGGCCTACCAATCAGGTCTGGGTCAAGTCCTTCCCTCTATGGAAAAAAATACACGTCTTTACATACTTTCAGGTTCTCCATCAGTAGATTTACCTCCATTGGGCAATGACAGCACTAATGGACTGTCTATAACTGCATGTACAGGACATCCATTGTGGTTTCGTGGTGTTTCTCTGGCATTATAAGGTGGAGGAGGTGTATCAGCTAAGAAAAAGAAAACAATGATGGGCTTGATATTTCATAGCCTGCCTATATAAATACAAAGAAAAGGCTTCAGAGACTGAAGCATAAATATTTACTAACACATTGTATTACATTAGATTGGATGCTTACAAATGATTTCATTTTATACACAAATACATCACAAAGAATCCAGATTCTCTGTTACAACTTCCAACACACACACACAACACACACACACACACACACACACAAAACACAAACACTCTCCTGTGAAATAGATTGGGCTGAGTAAGTCACTCAAAGTCAACCAGGGAGCTCCTGTGGCTAAAATAACTAAGTTTCCTTGGCTCCTAGTTTAACATCTTTACTACCCTATGCTGGGTCTCTTTAGTAATTTTTGGTAGAATTATTTTTTATTACTACCAATTTCATCTTTTTTTCGATTGTTGCTTTTATAATGTTAATATGTTGCAACTTCTACAGGGTCTTTAGAGCTAGTTGAGGTATAAATACTGTGGAATAAATAAAATAAATAAATATGCCACTCTTCAATTCAAATTCTCAGAGTAATGCAACTGCTATTACCAAAATTGCTTGAACTTGTAACAACGAGGTAGCATTGAAAGCTGTTTTTTGTTGTTGTTGTTTTGCAAAACTCTAGAGTGGCGTGGTGCCCTAGTGGTGAAGACGCTTGCCTTCCATCCGGAAGGTTGAGAGTTCAATTCTAGGTAGCAGACGATGTTTCTCTCTCAGGGTGCAAAGAGAAAAATATCTGCTGCCAACTCCATGTAGGCATCAGGGAGGGCCTAGCTCCATTCAGTCACTCCGATTATACCCCGAATTAAGGGATTACAGGGTTGTAAAAAGAAGAAAAAAAGGAAAAAATGATGCAGAATTCTGGTTCCTAAAAAGAAGTTACTGTAGACTCAATATCACTCAACTAGTGTTCAGGAATAGTATTTTGCATACCTGTGAGCTCATAAGGACTTCCCGGCGCAGAAGAATTTCCCGGGGAGTCTGGGTAGCTCATACTGCTTGATGACTGAGAGTACATATTGGGGGATGCTGGGAAAGTGATGCAGGGAGGCTGCTGGAAAGAATCAGGGTAAGTTGCATTGTGAGGCATCAGTGGCTCACTGTGAAGAGATGTGTTCCGGAATTTGGCAAGGAGGCTAAGATGTGGGTTGAATTCACTATGTCTTGGAACCAACACTGGAGGTAACACTACAACAAAAGAACAGAACAGATGTTTTGAAAATAGAAACTCTTTCAAGTCTTAGGCAGAAGTATCTCATTACCCATCTGCAGAATTTTCAAACAGACATTAAAGAAACTGGAATATGGTGCTTTATCTCTAAACCAGGGGTGTCTAACTGCCAGCCTGCGGGCTGGATGCATCATGCCAAAACCGCGCCCACCCCATTGCCGGTAATGGAAAAAAAGTCGTGATACATTGCGAAACGTCACGTGATGTTGCAAGTTTGACACCCCTGCTCTAAACTATAGCCTTGCTAAAGTTACAAGCTATGTATTTTCCAAGATCTGGCACATTTGTCATATTATACAATATAATACATTTTAGGCTACTTCTGAGTTGCTTGATCACAAGCATGTAAACAGAAATAGTAACTCATTTATTTGGAACCTCAAGTCTAGAAATTTGTGGCACTACTTTAGGGCTAAAAACTGCAGCAAGTACAAAATTCCATTGCTAAATTAGTTAAAAGACAACCCACCAACATACGATTTTGAAGATACTTCATGGCGCCACACCACTGAGCAAAATTCAAGGTATTGGTAGTATTCTTTATGAGCCTGTCCAACAACTAAGATCTTGTGGAGAAGCTCTCCTTAGGGTACCATAGATAAGTATCATATGTAGTACAATGGACCAAGAGAGGACCTTTTTTCCAAAGAAAACTAAAAATGGATTCCTTCCCTATTTCATTACAATTAGTCATGGGCTTTGTTAAGTTTTCAGACAGCTTAAGATGTATTCATTCAGCTAGGCTTGGTACTGCTATGACTTTGCTTCCTGATTATTATCCTATATGTTTTTAAATGGCTTATGGTTTTAAATTTTTGCCAGTTTTGTAAGGTTTCATTTGAATTATTTATTTTTTAAATATATATTTGTATGGAAGCTGGATGTGGGTTGGCTTTAAATGAGCTGTGTTTCTGATAACAATTTTGTAAGTATTATTTTTTTTAAATCCCTCTACATGTTAGAAATTCTGCATATAGGAACTTTGAAAATGCATGTTTCCCACATCTCTGTTCATATTTTAAAACTGATTTTCAAATCCTTTTCCTTTTCTTATCTTTGTGGCTCCAGGTTTCTCACAATCTGCTATCTTTATTACATTTCACCCCTCTTTGGGACAGGTAATCTAAAAAGGTTGAAATTGTTTAGCTTGCCACTGTTCATCATCACAGATTGATGGGTTCCTTAAGAATGGAAATCTGGAAAGGCCCTGCTTCAGAGTCACTCAAGTTAGAATCACTTTCAGACTACAGGCAAGGAAATAAACCTCTTCAAATGCCTTATTGTACTTTTAGCTCATGCGATTAAAAAAAGGAGGCTTTTTGTATAATATATGAAATAATTGAAGGATGACTATCAGAGAATCTAGGCATGTGTGATCACATTGAGGAAGGTTATATAAATTAGCTGAAGATTTATTTGTTTGTTTGTTTGTTTGTTTTCTATAGCTGCCTATCTCAGCAAATGACTCTGGATGGCTCACAATTCAAAACATGTATTACAATTAAAACTTTTAAAACATTTTAAAACAATAAAAACAGTAAAAAGCATTAAAACTATAAAAACATTGAAATGTCTAATTTGGAATACATTCAAAGCAAGAATTTTGACCTGCTAACAATATAGCAGGAGGTGGGGCTTTGGTGCATGTAGTGTGCCAGGCTCGGGAGCATAGCCAAGTTGTGCCTGGGTTGGGACCATTCTAATCTCTGAAGGGAGGATGTTCCATAGAGCAGGGGCTGCTGCAGAAAAAGCTTGCCTTCTAGTCTCTGTCAGCTGACATTCTTTGGATGACAGGATCTGCAGCATGCCCATTCTATTTGATCTGGTTCAATAAGTAGAAACTCTAGAAAAAAGGCAATCCCTCAGGTACTCTGGTTCCTAGTCAGGTAGGGCTTTATAGGTAACCACCAGCACCTTGAATTGCACCCAGAAACATACTTGTAACCAATGCAGCTCATGCAGGAATGGTGCTATATGTGCCATATATCTGGCACCATTGTTACCCACATGGCTGCATTCTATACCAGTTGAAATTTCAGTACATGTAGAGCATGTACAATACTCTAATATGGAGATTATAAGGACATGAGCTACCATGAGCAGAGTTTCCTGGTCCATGTATGGACCAGCAGGAGCCACGAGTCCAAGAGGACATCCAGATTGTACTCCGGGTCTATTTGAGGCCAGAACCATAGATGGAAGATCTTTATCTCCAGAGGATCCAAATACCCACAGCCACTCTGTCTTGCAAGTTGGAGTCCATTTCACCTCATTCAGTTCCCAACAGCCCCCAGACACTGGGATATGACATCCATGGCATCACTCAAGGGGCCTGGAGTAGAGATATAGAGCTGAATGTTATCACGTACTGATGGTATCTCACCCCAAACTGACGGATCACCTCATTCAATGGCCTCAGCTTAAATAGAAGGGGAGAGAGAACAGAGACCTGAGCCACCCCAAAGATGTCTTTGCCTAGTACATGGAAAAACATGTAAATATAATATAATAAACCTATTGTGTAATTTGGATGTTTGAAAGGATTTATGGCATGACTGAAAATTGATACCGGTAGAGTTCATTTATGTTGGAATGCAATACAGCTAAAAGGTTTTGGAATTTGTCACCAAAACAATAGTAACATGTTTTAGATCACAAGATCATGGAGTTCGTTTGTTGTTAAATTATATGGAGAACTGAGAAATAAGATACAGTGCTCAAAGAGACTGTATGTAATTTTTCTGGTTTGGGTAGCTAGCAAGACAATCTGTCACCATCCAGAGAGTCAACTGTTCCCCTCCCTCCTACTCTCGTGGGATTGCAGCAAAACTGTATAATAGATTCCTTCCTTTCCCTGTGTATTTTCTCTCTGTATTTTATAAGATACACATTTGACCTGCAGTGATATTATATGATTAAGATGTTCTTCACAAGGTAAAGACTTAAAGGAATCTGTAGGGACATGTCCAGGCTGTCACCTTAAATCAAGAATGATGTCATGTGTCTGATTAACGAAACACTTAAAAGAACTTTCAGGCATTTTTTTTAACCTAAAAGCCTTTATTAAGGTTACTTGAAGTCACACACAGACACAAAAACTAAGTACCAAACAGTGCTCTGCCACTACTCTCATCTAATACAGAGTTCTTTCTTTGTGATTTTCAATGAACATGTATGCAACGATACATTTCCTGTATAAATAACATTTAGTGTAGTCCTAAGTAAAAAGAATTTTACAATTTCAGCCCCTTGGACAAGAACAAGACATGCATGCCAGGTACACATAATTAAAATATTTTCAAAAAAAGCAAATGAAAAGCATCTGTTTTGATATTTCACCTGTAATCCAGAGTGTAGTATTATAATGGCTTTTAAAAAGCACACAAAGTTTTGTTTTGTAACTGGTACACAAATTATTAACAATAGGCCAATTTATATAACTAAACCATCAGGTTAAATATGATGGTAGAATTTATTTAGGCTAAGATGCATTTTCTGAACAAATTCTTATGTTTGTACCATTAAAAATCATTTGCAAATTTAAAAAAAAATACTTTTTAAAACTACCTGATTAAATGTAAAGAATCCATTGTCTAAGAGCCACTAATGCTATTATTAATATATTCACTTACTACTATTATTGCTATGCTATTTTCAGGCATTCCATCCAATAAATTAATAAGTATAGCATCAGAATTCTCCTTATGTTTTCTTCTCAGGATCTTGATCCTCCAAAGTAATCCTAACTAAATGTTTGCAACTGAACTCTTTGACCTACTTTGATCTAGCTACTTTTTCCAATCACTGCTTGTATGCAGCTTCCCTTTTTTGCAGGTAGAATAATTATGAAATATGAAATAGGCAATCAATGCAGTGCTATCCTTCATTAAACATTTAGACAATTGACTTACCTGGGGTTTCCACTCTTCGATAATGGTAAGGATTAATGCAGACTTCTTTCTGCTTTGAGCCAAATGGGAATTCACAGCATTCCAGAGGTTTTAACTCATGATGAGACTGTAGATCAGGCCAGCGCCACACTCTGCAGTAAATGACATGTGGCAAACCTTTGCGATGAGATACTTGCAGCCTTCCATCCAAAGAGCGTGGGATTGTCACACACTTACTGGGCTGCCCAGGACAGCTAAGTGCCCTCTCCAGTTCCTCCATGGCACCTTTTTTTTTCTTCAGCTTCTTTACCAAGGAGTCCACAGCTTTTTCTGCCCACTTTTCCTCTTCATCTCCTTGCTTCCAGCCCAATAGCCTCTTTACAGCTGGGCTGGTGAAGGAGAACAGAGAACTTATAGGGGTGCTGGAGTGCATAAGAATCCGAGATTACTGGTATAATTTCAATTATTCAATTTATTTTTCTTTAATGAAGAATCTCACCACTAGAAGAGATACTCCTTCAAAATCAGTCTTTTCTCCACATACTCTGGGTTTTGCTGGATATATATTTAATCCCAGTATCTTCAAGTAGAGAACAATTCTACAATAGAAGGGAATTATTGTCATATTTCTGTTTGCTTTCTCTTCTGACAGTTTGTCACATCACTTTCTAAGCAATATCACAGATTGTCAAAAATCAAGAGTATTATTACTATTGCTATATAAGATTGCATATGTGTCCATTATATACATTCCAAAAAATATAAATCTGAACCTTTTCACAAAATATTTTTTTTAAAGTTGGGAAATATTTATCAATAAAGTTGAACAATTCCTTTTTTCCAGAGGTATTTCTTACCTGGGAAATACTAAGGGGAAAAAAACATAACAGAACTTTCTGTAAATACTATTTTCTTTTGCAGCGGTCACCATTTTTCACTCCTTAAGATACGTGGATGCATAATGTTTTCCAGAATGCCAGCACAATGTGATTAACAGCAAAACAAAAATAGGCTATTGGAATCCACCAGAGTGGATGTCTACATTGTCAAATAAGAAAATTTCAAAAAAATCAAAACACAAACAAAAAAGCAGGAAGAAAGAAATAACTGAGATCATTATAAATCATTATCATTATAAATCAATTAACTTCCAGCCCATTCATCTAAACTTCCTAATTTGCCACTTACCAGAACCTTGTCCATCTCGTGCAAAACCCCTCTATTGCTATGTGTCCTTGTTTTTCTTCTTTTTTCTCTACAAGCATCATTTCTGGAATAGCTTTAAGAGCTTCTGCACTTCTCAGGAAATTTTGTTACTCTGGATACTATAACTGAAGTTTCATTGTGATGATCAACACAATGCTATAATTTATATAATACCATTATTCTAATAATATAGATATAGATTTCATTCATCCCCCTTCATTAAGAAAGTGAATCCAATTGCTAGGTAATTTTCTCATTTGTTAGATAACTAAATTACATCAGGAACGAAGGCATTACACTATTAAAACAAGACAACAATTAGCCTCTATTATGAAGCTGGCTTTTACTGGTCAGGCTCCCATCTTTAGTACAATGTCTAGTTCTGGGCACAGAAAAAGAACAAAATCAAGGGACAAGAAATTAAGACATATTAAGAGTTATTGGATGAGCTGGGTATGTTTAGCCTTAGGAAAATATGACTTTGTAAGGATATGATACATTCTTCAAGTAACTGAAAAGGACATTACAGCTATTTCCTACTATACAAGAATGCAGGATATGTAATAATGAATTTAAATTACAGGAAGACTGATTCCAATTGGGTGGTAAGAAAAGTAAACCCTGCCTAATCTATATAAATAAAAATGTAAATGTTCATTTGTTCAAAATCTTAAATCTCTGAAAATTCTTCACCGATTGCTTTGAAATTTTGACACAACGTTGCATTCGAATACGCGCGTATTTTTATATACCTATATTGTATAGATGTCACACCTGTGACAGGTAAAAACATGCTTTTTTGAAAAACAGCGCCATCTGTTGGACATAAAAGCAACACACGCTTTTACCAGACTGAGCCACAGCAACGCATGGCCGGGTACAGCTAGTACTGTAATAAGTTTGATAGTAAGAGATGGTGGGCTCCCCTTTGCTGGGTGTGATTAAGCAGAAAGTAGACAGCGATCTGTGGAGAAGCTTTAATTTGGATTTCTGCACTGACTGGACCTGACATCTCAGGACAAGAAGCAATAGATGGAAACTAACCAAAGAGAGAAGCAACCTAGAACTAAGGAGAAACTTCCTGACAGTTAGAACAATTAGCCAGTGGAACAACCTGCCTCCAGAAGCAGTGAATGCTCCAACACTGGAAGTTTTTAAGAAGAAACTGGACAGCCATTTGTCCGAAATGGTATATGGGTATGGTATGACCTCCAAGGTCCCTTCCAACTATATTATTTATTATTATTTATTATTATTATTATTATTATTATTATTATTATTATTATTATTATTAATCATCGCACAGTCAGCCAGATGTTCAGACTGGATTTGGCATTTTGTCTACCTATCGAGTCCTTACCAAGGACCTGGGAAAGGCAGATGTGGATGTTTGATGGTATTACAGATATCGTCGCAGGATGGAAGCAGTTGTTGTTGTTGTTATTATTATTATTATTATCTCTCAATTCAATGATCCCACTAGTTTGCTGTAATAGTTGAGTTAGGATATCTAAACAATAAATAATCTACAGGTAGTCCTTGATTTACAACAGTTCATTTAGTGACCAATTGAAGTTACAATAGCCCTAAGAACAGTGACTTATGGCTGTTTTCACACTTAAAACCATTGCAGCATCCCCATGGTCACATGATCAAAATTCAGACATTTGCCAACTCACTCATATTTTTGACGGCTGGAGGGTCCCAAGATCATGTGCAACCTTCTATCAAGCAGTCAATAGGGAAGCCAGATTAGCTTAACAAGTATGCAATGTCACTAACTTAACAACTGCAGTGATTCACTTAACAACTGGCAAGAAAGGCTGTAAAATGGAGCAAAATTCACTTAACAATGTCTTGCTTAGCAACAGAAGTTTTGGGCTTAATTGTGGTCATAAGTCGAGGACTACCTGTATCAGTCAAGAAATTCACTTCTCTCTCCAAATCTGTAACTCTGGCATTCTCATGTACCGTTTCAAGCATCACAATATTTACATACAGTACTTTAAAAAAAGTGTATTTTCTTACATCACCCTTGTGTTTTTTCATTCTTTATTTATAAAAAATATACTCTATATTGCTAACATCTCATTCACAGAAATGACATATTTAAAGAATGACTTTTTCCAGTATGACTATTGGGAGAAATATATCGTACTGTATGTAAATCATCCATAGATAACAGGTCTATATACTGAGGGCATATTCATTTCTACCTTAAGTGTGCGTATGCAGATTCACCGATGGGCTTTCATTCATTTTTCTTATTCCACAATAAACCTGATGATTTTCAATTGCCACTTAATATTTGCAAATAAATTTTATTTTGGGTTGCATAACACAAGAAAGAAACAGAAAAGAGAAAACTAAAAGAGACATTACTAAAAAAAATCCCTTTGTTCTGCTTGGCTCAAACAGGAATCTCTGCGTGCTCTGGATTGTGTCAAATCTTCTGGTATCACAACATATTGTTAAGCACATAAAATATGCAGAAACATTCTTAGGGGGAATTGCAAAATCTCAGGACTCTGAGAAAAATGACAATTAGAAAAATATTTTAACTAATACTAAATACGTATCTGTAAGCACAAATATTTTATTCTGAAACATGCATATATTTTTGGCAGGTTTTTGCAAAAGGCTTTACTGATTATCTTCATTGTGATTTTTCACAATGGCCATTGATAACAGACTGAGGTAGCTACTCTATCAACAAAAAATGCACATCTTTATGCCACTGTGGAAAAGAGAACCCTGTCTTTTGCCAACTGATATAAAAAAAAGTCACAAAAGAAGAGAGATAAAGCAGTTGAGTGTTTCTGAGCTATCAAATGGTTTTGAGACTTCTTCCTCAATATTCTATCAATATTCATTTCTCCTCTGCCAGTCTGCTGATTTCCCTATGTGGAATTCAGTGTACATATCCGCATTTAATTTCTGCTTTCTAACTATAATTTCTAACTATAAAAATAATAATGACACAAAACAAAATATGTGATGAAACCAAGCAGGAAAGATAAGGAATATGTGTGTGCTAAAAAGCAGCAACCATCAATGGCTTTGATGATTCATGTGTTGCCAAAGAGTGCACACAATCGTGGATATGATAACAGATACAGTCTGGATGCTGCATGAAACATATAATTTTAAAAAATCTTGGGTCTTTTGTTAAGGCCCAGTGAAGGTTTTTTTTCCCCTTTATTGAGTACCCTTTTATTTATTTATTTTCATTTGATTTGCAACTGTGTAATAAAGGGTCCTGATACCAATATTTTAAAAAGCTGCTGGATTATGTCATTGGTTTTAGTGTTACTGAAAGTGCCAAAATCAATCTAAAGACTCAAGAGAGAATTGTCTAGACAGAAGTCACACTAAAACCTTATGTACTGTTAGAAGATTAAAAAAAGTACTCCACAGTGGCAGCTCTATTATATATTTATTCTAAAGGATGACAGTTTAGATTATTTCAAAAACTGAGAAAGAATAATGCCTGTGTGAGTCCCATTGTAATGCAAATAAATTTAAAACATAACTAAATTAGATCTGTACTACCTGCTTTCTAATTCTGAGATAAAGTCACCCCAAAAAAGCAAGTGTTTTTCAAATATGTTATCCACATTTTTACAGTAAATCTGTGTCTAAATACTTTAGTACAGGTGTCCCCAACCCCCAGTCCGTGGACCAGTATTGGGCTGCAGCATGCCAGCAACCGGGCCGCACAAACAAGCAAAGCCCCATCCACGAGATGCAGGCAGCACACAAAACCACACACTCTCCGGTCTGCTGAAAAACCTCTCTCCACGGAACCGGTCCATGGTGCCCAAAAGGTTGGGGACCTTTGCTTTAGTACACTTCCAAGCAGACAGAATTGGAAAAACATTCCTAGAGCTGTTTTACATTGTGCTCAATAGCTAGATACACTGGTGTGCCAGATGTTGCTCAGATATAATTATTATCAGTTCCCCTCATCATGTCCAATAGTGAGATATTCTGGAAGTTATAGTTCAGCAACATCTGGAATGCTGCTGTTTGCTTACATCTTCACTAAAGTTGGTGGTCCAACTGAATTTGGTATACATCCTAATATTCTGTTCTTGTTTGCCAAAAAATGAATGGACATTTGATTTTTCCATTGAATGTTATTGACAATACATTTTGTCTCTGAAATGCTTAGACCAGGGGTCCACAACCTGTGGGTTGTGGCCCACTAGTGGCCCACGAGGGTTTGCATCCAGGCCACGGAAATGGCCGG